GTGCTCGAGCTCGACCTGTCGACCATCATCCCGTGCCTGTCGGGTCCCAAGCGCCCGCACGACTACGTCGCCCTGTCCAACATGAAGACCGACTTTGCCGCGTGCCTCACCAACCCCGTTGGCCACAAGGGTACGCTCCAGCCTCTCCACCTTTACTCTCATTTTTACGTTGCATCGTAGATGATGATTTCTACTTATTGGTCCGTGTTGATGATAGGCTATGGCCATGAATATAATTAATAAGTCCTGACACATGCATATTTTTGCAATGTTTCTCTTCTTTACGCCTTTTGGCACTACCCATACTCATCCTTCTCTCTTCCGGTGCACAGGCTTCGGTCTCACTGCCGAGCAGGTCAGCAAGAAGTTCTCCTTTGAGTATGAGGAGAACGGCGAGAAGAAGCAGGGAACCCTGACCCACGGCAGCGTGGTGATCGCCGCCATCACGTCGTGCACCAACACCTCCAACCCGTCGGTCATGATCGCCGCCGGCCTCGTGGCGCGCAACGCCGTTAAGAAGGGCCTGAAGGTGCCGTCGTACATCAAGACCTCGCTCGCCCCCGGTTCCGGCGTCGTTACAGAGTACCTCAAGAAGAGCGGTCTCCTTCCCTTCCTCGAGCAGCTCGGCTTCAAGTACGTCACTCAACCCCCCGTCCCTTTCGCTTTGCTGTTGCTGCTGCGCTATGATTACATACTCTTGCGGTTATGAATCTGATTTCCATGCTGACCATAGAGACCTGAAATGATGCTTCGCGCACTTATTCTTTATTCTCTCGTTCTCTCCTCTTTTCGTCGGCGCTAATCCTCGATTTCTTGTTTCACACAACAGTGTGGTCGGTTATGGTTGCACCACCTGCATCGGTAACTCTGGTCCTCTTCCCGCCTCCGTCTCCGCCGCCATTGAGGTACCCTGTCCCTCCACTCTCCCTTATGAGAACGGCGTAGATGATGATTTCTACTTATTGGTCCGTGTTGATGATAGGCTATGGCCATGAATATAATTAATAAGTCCTGACATATTACTAGTTCTCCAACCACTTATCTATTCGTACTTATCATCTCTGTACGGCATCGTCTCGTTCATCTCGCTCA